ACTCTTGGTGTGTTAATTTTGCATCTGGAACGGCCCGTTTCAAATGCAAAATTAACACACCAAGAGTGCATCCAGAACGACCCGTTCTGGTTTCAGAACGGGCCGTTCTGGTTCCAGGTATTTTCAAAAAAATTGACATCCACGTGTCATCCACCTATGCATCTATGTGGCATCCACGTGGCCAACAGTTAACACCGTTAAAGAAATTTGGACGGAAGTCCCACATTGAAACCAATTAATTTATTAGGGACCTAATTGAAACCAAATAATTAGTTTGGGACCAAATTGAAACCGAAAATAAAAATGGGACTAAATTGAAACAAACAATTATTATAAGGGACCAAAATAGGTATTTAGCCTAAAAAATATATGAAAAAAATGTGAATGTCTCGTACAAGTGTACAAAATATATATTTTAAAAAATAATTTTCATATCTCAGATTAAAATTATATAAAAATGAAAAATATATTTTTTATGACTTATAAATATCAACCATAGTTATCTGATAAGTTAACAAAATGTTCATTTTCAGGGGAAGATTCATATCTCTTAACGAGACTGCACCATTGGAATTTTCATTTGGGTCAGTTACATAGTACTTTTCAACAACCGATAAAAAAATAATATCAATGCTAGTAGAAATTGTGTGAACATAACATGTCATAGAGTTAACATGTTTGGATACAAATTTAAAATTGTTATTAAAAAATTTTCTATTTAAAAATACTTTGTATCTTCTATAAAAATACTCTTAAAAATATTTATAATTTGTATCCAAATAAGTTGATGGCCGGTTAACCCAATCTTGTCAATAAGCAGGGTTAGTCAGGAAATTCGCTGCCTAAAGCGTACTGATCTGATCAAAGCCATGGCTGATAATTTACCAATAGGGACTGTACGTACCAATTGTCAAGTTCTTTCCATTGAAATAGATCCTTTAACACATTATCCACAACTTATGCTTAGCAATGGAAGTATCCTTCAAGCTAAGGTATATATAGATGTGTATTTTTTCTACATTAATTTCTTATAGTACGTGTGAGTTTTAAGGAAAAATAATGTTTGACTTGTTAAGTTAGAATAAATAAATAGTAAATTAATGCAGTACTGTAATTACCCTTGTGCATGCATGTTTGTACTGATATCAGGTTGTGATTGGATGTGATGGCGTGAACTCTATTATTGCAAGTATGTTTGGGTTACACCGAACCAAGCTCTTGATCTTCTCAACATGTGTTGCACGAGGCTTCACAAATTATCCAAATGGTCACCAATATGGCAGTGAGTTTGCTGTGATAAACAAAGCTCAAGTCCAGCTCGGAAGGTTGCCAATATCTGACAAACTTGTTTATTGGTTTGTCACAAGGCTTAGGACTCCTCAAGGTCACTAGTGCCACTCTTATCACCATCTCTCTTTTAATTAAAACTAACTAATTTGTTTAGATTACACATTGATTAATTTTGTGGATAACTTAGAATATATATATATATATAGAGAGAGAGAGAGAGAGAGAGCAGGGTTCAAATGACACCAGTGTAACTTTTACTAAGTATTACACCGCTTAATAACTTTATATTAAATGTGAATTTTGAAAATCCAACCGTTAGATTGAAAGTTCATATCTCTTAGATCATATATATCAAATTTTGTTAAAATCGAACAACAACTTGAAGGTAATCAAAGTGTTCATATTTTAGTATATTTTGAAATGTATATATTACGTCAATTTTGTGTTACGAGAATGAAATATCAAATCATCTTAGATTAATATAAAATTTGATATATATGATCTAAGAGATATGAATTTTCAATCTAACGATTGGATTTTCAAAATTCACATTTAATATAAAGTTATTGAGCGGTGTAACACTTAGTAAAAGTTACACCGGTGTCGTTTGAACCCTCCTCATATATATATATATA